CCCGCGTGGCGAAGTGGCGGGTCCCCGGCCACAACAGGCTTCTCCTCCTCCTTGCGGGGGCCCTGGTGGTCCAGGCGGTGTTCCAGGGGACGCACTTGGTGCAGCAGGGGCGGGCGTGGGCGCAGCGGGCGTGGTGGTGGGCGTGGGCGGTGCTGCAGGCGTGGGCGGCTGCTGCTCAGGCCCTGGTCACAGCAAGCGGCGGCGTCAAGCTCCCGGGGTTGGCGCGGTTGGTGGGGCCAGTCCAGAGCGTGAGGAGGTCGGCGCAGGCTACAACAGTGAGGACGAGTATGAAGCGGCTGCAGCCCGTATCGAGGCTATGGACCCTGCCACCGTTGAGCAGGTAAGGGCTGGGTGGAGGGTAAAGGGTGGGTGCATATGCAGGTAGGACCCCTAGACTGAGAAAGGACTCAGGGAATTCTGTTTGACATCATCCCAAGGGACCTCTAGGTCTTTCTAAGGGACCTGACACTCTTCTCTGTGGGCAGGGGCATGACACCCGCTTTTCTCCCCAACAATAACTTGGGGTTAGAGGTCCTAGATATGGTAGGAGACTTAAAGATGGGGTCCGAGGTCTCTTTTATGCCTGTACTCGTCATCCCAGACCCTGGGACTTAATCTGGTAGAGCCAGTAGATAGTTCCTCAAGAGACACAGACAGGATAAAGCCTCTCCTGGGGGGGGGTCTCAGGTTCAGGGCTAGTATGGAGTGGGGAGTCCTCAGGTCTCTCCAAGGGACCTAAGTTTTTGTTCAGTGGCTTGAGAACTGTTTTTCTCCAGTATAAGAAGAGTCTGAGACTTCCTATCAAGGGATCTTCAAATAAAGAGATCTCAGAGATGGTGTCTGAGTATCTCCAAGGAACCTAAACACTTTGAGGAGTCTGAGACACACTGTGTATAGGACAACCCTTCCCTCTTTAGTGTAACATGGCAGAGCACATTCAGCAGGGGAACCTGAGACTCCCTCTTTTAGGGAGGAGAATCAAAGTCCTGACAGGCACACATCCCAACTCTTGAGAGGAGATCTGAGCTGTCCTGCAGGGGTCTAAGACTTTTCTCAGAGATAAGACCCTGTGCCCTCCTTGGGGACAAGGGCCAAAACCAACACCCAGGGACCAAAGACCCTACTTGGGTACATGAAATTCATTTGCTGAGTGATGGGGTCTACTTCTTATCAGTGATCTGAGACCTCCCTCCTTGGAGACAAGGATATGAACCTCTTTGAAGTTCTTAAGCTTCTAAGGAATGGGCATTTGCCCCTTAACCCTCCCCCTTCCACCAAGGGCCTGAGCCTTGAAAATGAGACTCAGCTTTGACTGCTAGGAGCTAAGATCCTCTTGCTTATGAACTGAAAATTTTAGAGACCAGGTGTCAGTCCTCTTTAGGGGCCCTATAGTCCCCTATAAAGGTCCTAGGCAAGGTGAGTCCTCAGGGACTGGTGTCTTGAGTGTTCTTGGGAGTCTGAGGACACCCCCCCCCACACACACACACACACATACACAGATGTGAGACACTTTCTATCCAATTATAAGAGACTAAAACACACATTGGGGATATGACATTCTATCTTTTTCTCTGTAACAAGGGTCCAAGCCACCCTTACTACCACCAGGGCCTGAGATTCTTGTTAGGGACACAAAATGCTTATCTTGGGAACCAGAACCCTAGACCACTTCCCAGTGCACATGAGTATTATGGGGTCCCAGAGATAATGTCTGAGACCTCCTGTGGATTTAAATCTACTTTCAAAGAAGGGCCTTAGGATCCCTCTGGCAAGGATATTTGTGCTTTCCTTCAGAGACAGTTGACCCTTACATACCCAGTGACTGTTGGGTCTTTATTCAGGGAACTTGAAGTACCCCTCAGGAACAGGGTACTCCCCCCACCAGAAATGAGCCTGAGATCCTTCCTTTGGGGCACAGCTGTAGGATCCCTGAGGAACAAGGACCTGAATCCGTCGCCCCCCCCCCCCCCCCGCAAACCCCCGAATTTGAACTTTACCTTGGTGTGTGAGGGCCTGTTCTCCATTTCAGAACCTGGGACCTGAAACTGTCCTGAGGGTACTGACAGTCACTTCACCTCAGATAAAACTTAGAGACTCCAGCTATATGGACCTTTTAGGGATACAATGGTTCCTGGATTGGGGACATGGGTCAGGTGGGATTCTGAGGAAAAGTGTCTGGGCCTTTTCCCAGAGACCTGAACTTCCCCTTGGGGACAAAAGATCTTTCACCTTAGGGACTGGGACCTAAGCTCTCCCTTGCGCATGAGATTCTCTTCCCAACACACCAGACAGTCCTTTCTCATCAGGGAAAGGGACATGAGGTCACCTTCAGTGTGACCAGAGGCTTTCCTCATTGGACAGTAGAACCTGGGTGCTCTCCAGGGTCATACAAACTCTTCACTCTGATTCCCCTCACAGCCAGGGCCAAGAAGGTTCCCCCTGCCTTTTATCAGAAGGTTGTCAGGTCCTGCGGACATGGAGCCTGAGGGCTTCCCTCTTATCTGAGAG